CAACAGGCTTGTAGAACAAACTAAAATATTGTTCCTCACGGTTTTTAGAACAATTTCAAATTGTTCCAACAAAGTAATAATATAATATTGTTCCATCAATCCTGTAGAACAATCGAAAATATTGCTCTATCACGTTTGTACAACAGTTAACTAGAATTGTTCCATCAAACATGCAGAACGAACGGAAGTAATAGTATATTGCTCCAGTAGGCATGTGGAACAAAATTAAAATATTGCTCTACCATTTTTGTAAAACAAACTAAAATTCTGTTCTATCAAACAAACATATTATTATTATCAGGTTTGAAGAACAAACTAAAATATTTGTTCTATCAAATAAACATTGTTCTATCAAACTTGGACAACACACAATCGATTCTGTGTCCACAACTGAGAATATTATTGTGAACCAAAGATCTTATATAACAAGATAGTTCACTCCTCTCTTTGAGCCAATTAAAAAATAGTGTTCTAAAGATTCGGTGGGGCCCTCTTCGGAAAAGTGCGGACTTTCCGATCAGAGTTGCCCTACTTGTGGGAAAATCAATACAAGTGAAACTTAGAAACTGTACTATTCCTATTCTTCTTTCACTTCCGAGAACACCTTTTATTTGTGGCAGAGTGAACTATCTTGTTATGTTACATCTTTGTGTGGACTCATAAACAACGTCATCAAACTACGTGTGAAAACACAAACTCCCAGATGGTGTGTGGGGGAACACAGTTGTGGCTTACACGTCACTACATTGAGGAGGTCTATTGAAACGTAACGTTTCTTCCAACGCCCATCTCAACACTGCTCTTATATTTTTTACAGAAGATAATATATTTATATAATATTATATTATGATAATGTCGAACAGTGTATTTATATATAATGTATAGTTTTTACACCTTATGCGCATGTATACGCTCCAAACTTGTTGTGTTCCCCACCCCGTCCAGCATATCTTTGTGCCACTGGCTCGCCAAAACTACAGCCATGTACAACCTCCAAGCTTCCACTTACTGGTCGTCGAAATCTTAGGGTCACGTGGACGCCCAGTGCTCATCCAGGGGTCATTCAAAAATGTCTGTCAAGAGGTCACTCAAAATTTGGTCCCGCCCCTTAAATAACCTAATAGTGTTGACAGGGGTGTTAAAACCATACCATTTCACCATTTTCACTTAAAATTTGCTGCTTCATGTGGTATCATTATCCTTCGAGAGGTTATCCACAATTGGTCGCATTTAAACACAAGGGGGCTATCCCGAAAAATGCTGTTTTGAGAAAATCGAAGGTAACGTTTTTGCCCCTTGTTAAATTTCTTTAAAACACTAGGAGAGTTTTCTATACAACCAAACAAATATACACACCAATGAAACCAAATGTCTCCTATAATTAGGGCAATGTCCACTTTTGGTGTAGGTCCGGATTCCTGGAAACCTCCGAAATCTGGGTTAGCCTGCTTGTCCTTAGAAGCGACCAAGTGTACATCCAGTGGCATCCTAAA